GCAAGCTCTCGCATACCAGCCTTGCTCTTGGTCGGAGATACACGCGTGTGCAGTCCTCGGCAGCACCTGGCCCGGGAAGGTCCTCTCGTAGGCCTCCACCACAGGACCTGGCAGCGCATCCTTGTATACGAAGGCATCTGGATACTCGAGTGCCAACTTGGCATGCCGTTCGTGGCCACCAAAAAGTAGCGATAGATTCTGCAAAGGCACCAACTCTTCCGCCACGCCCAAGCGCTGACATAAAGATACACGCACAGCCTCCAAACCAGGTCTAGCCCGGGCGCGACAGCCAACCGCCCAGGCGCGGCGGAGCTTGCTATCCAGAGAAACCAAGGAATACAAGAACTCCCACTCCTGTCGCTCTAGGTGCTCGCTGGTCCAGTATTCGCCACGTTGCTCGCGACAGCGACGATGCGCTACGAGCCGCTGCGTGGTCCTGCAATCCACGAGATACTGCGCCAATAACTCCTTTTTCACCTCCTCGGCCGAGACACCCTTCTGCAGCTGCTCCAGGACATACTCCCCGCATACGTGGCTGTGTATCTCCTCAGCATTCTCCAGTATTGCCAGCTGCTGGGAGGGCGCCTTCAGCCACCTCTCCAGGGCGACCCAATGTGCAAATACCCCGGTCTCCGCGCGATACTTGTCCACCAGCGCTCGCCCCCTCAAGCCTTCTACGTGATACCAGTACTGGAGGTCCCTGCGCGACAACGCGTAGACGGCGCAATTGCCATGTTTGGCACCGTCTCCGAGTCGATACTTGCCGAGCCACTCTCGCAAGGCATATGGACCCGCCTCATACCCCCAGGCCTTCAGACGCACCTGCATATTCTGGTAAGTGAGGCCAAGGCCCAAGTCGGAGACCTGCTCTCGATACCGCTTGCCGCATGCCGCCTCTACAGCATCCCCCGTCAGCAGCTTTATACAAACCACATCTGTGGAGGAAGAAGCTGCCGTGGCCTGCTGCTTCGATACGGGCTCCTCCCAGTCGACCGCGGCAGGCCGTTTGGCCACGCGGGCAGATCCGGCGGCGGCTGGCCGTTTCAATGCCCCGCCTGCGACCTGCGCCGCCGGGCGCTTCAATACACGCCTGGCGACGGCCTGGGCGGATGAAGCCGTCGCCTGCACTGAAGAGCTCACCGACGCATACGCATCGCACCACTGTCTCAACACTCCTCGGGACACCAAGACAGCTTTCCGTCGCATACGCAACGCGGCATGCAAGGTGTGGTACTTCAGCCCTGGATATACCGCGCGCATGTGGTCACCAAGTGCCGCGTCGAGCTTTTCAGCCGTGTCATACTGCAAAGGTCCGGAGTCAGGGTGATACTTCACGTACCATTGCCTCAAAACCATACCGCTGACAGCGACGGGAGGGTCGCTCTCCGAGAGAATCTGCGAGAGGACCTCCGCGGCGGCCTCGTCGGCGAAGCTCTCCCGATACTGATTGAGTCGAAGACGCTGGCCTATACATTCCTCCACAGCTTGGGCAGTATTCAATGCTCCCTTGGCGCCCCACTCCGTGCTGAGCCACTTCTGGCATACCCTGGCGTCAGCAGATACAGATAAATGTCCCAGGAGCCACTGCTTCAAGACGGCCCCGTCAGTAGTCCCCTCGGGCATGTCTGTGCGAATACGTTCTCCATACCAGGTCTCCAGATGGCCAGCGTTCTGCACTTTGACAAGCGTCTCTTTGGAAGAATACTGCAGTAGCCACGCCGTTGCGACCCTATCTGGCACATATAGTGGTGGATCCAACTGTCGGAGCGCCCCGCATAATTTGAAAGCTGTATTATACTCGATGCCCAGGTGGCGGATGGCAGAGCCGTGCTGCTCCTCCAGCTCCTCGGCGCTAGAAATACTGACCTTGCCAGGCACAACCCGATACTTGCCCCACCAAGTCTTGCACGCCTGGTGACTGGCCTGGATACCCTTTGCAACGAGCGCCTGATGCAAATGATACGGGCTGCCGCAGTCAGCCAAGGGAGGCCGCGACAGCTCTGGGCCATACTGGTCGTCAAGGGCTTTCGCCGACAAAGCCATGACCCATCCAAGAACACAGGCGATACCTTGATCCGAGATGGCTACGGATGTGACAGTGATCAGTGATTTTGTTCGATGACGTGGTGACGCACGGACTGGTTGTGGTAACATGCCGACGACGACGACGACGACGACGACGACGCGACGGCGCGCGCATGTGTCCCGCATGGTATTTTTTGCAAGGGATTGTAGCCTGGCAGGCGCGCGGACGCCGTTGAATGCGAAAGTAGCTCCCGCGAGCTCATGTAAAATGTTGAAAAACCATTTGTTTTAAGGATTCGGACAGCGCGCGCGGGTAGAAATTTGGAAAATCCGTGCACGTGTTTTTCGAGGACCTACGGGGCGATTCGTGCGATTTTATGATACGCGGTGCTGAATTTCTTAAGAAACCCAATGGTATTGGAAGATTTCGGCGTGCGCGCGCGAAGAAAAAACGAATGTGTCCCATATGGTATTATTTGACAGGGATGATGGCCCTGCCATGCGCGCAACCGTTGTTGCAGAAGTTCGAAGCACGTGAAAAAGTTGCTCGCAAGAGCCCGTTTGACAGAAATGTTGAAAAACTATTGCGTTTCCTCAGAAATCCGCAAGAGCGCGCGGGATGAATTTTTGAAACTTTTTTATTAAAAAAACCATTGGGTTTTTCATGTTTTTTATGTTTAAATCGTTACGAAAACGAAGGTTTTGGAAGGATTTCGTCTTGCCCGCCCTATGACGTTCGGACACTTCACTTCGTGGCATGCGGACGACCGTGGCTACTATTCAGGGCCCCGCGGCCGACGACGACGGCGTGCGCGCGCAAAGAAAAAACGAATGTGTCCCGCATGGTATTATTTGACAGGGATGATGGCCCTGGCAGGTGCGCAACCGTTGTTGCAGAAGTTCGAAAAAGTTGCTCGCAAAAGCCCGTTTGACAGAAATGTTTAAAAAGTGTTGGGTTTCCTACGAATCCGCAAGAGCGCGCGGGATGAAATTTTGACATTTTTTTTTGAAAAACCATTGGTTTTTTGATGTTTTTATGTTAAAATCGCTACGAAAACTAAGGTTTTGGAAGGATTTCGTCTTGCGCGCGCGAATGTCCACTTTACCTTATTTTTTGCAAGGGATTCTTGAAATTTGATTATGTTAGAACAAGAAATGTCATTTTATAGTGTTTTTTGCAAGGGAAAGCGGATCAACAAAAAACAACCGGATCTGGATCACATCGTTTTACCTGAGGCTTCCTCACGAAAATGATGAAAATGTGGCTGCGGCCTAGGCGCGGCGGGGGGGGCGTGCACCAGGGGGCCCAACAATAATTATTCTTTAGAAGTAATAATATTCAACAACAACAACAACAACAACAACAACAACAACAACAACAACAACAACAACAACAACACAAACCACCACCACACCACCACCAAACCACCACCACAACCAACCACCACCACAACCACCACCACCACCACAAAAAAAAAACACCACACCACCACCACCACAACCACCACCACCGCCACCACCACCACCACCACAACCCGCCACCACCACCGTCGTCCTCGTCGACGCCCCCCGCCCCCGCCGCCCGCCGCCGCAGGCACCGCCGCCGGCCAAAAAAAGAAATCGTCCTCCCCGCCGCCGCCGCCAGCCGCCGCCGACGCAAGCGCCCGCCCGAGGAGAGGGGAAACTGGGGAGGAAAAAGGGGGGGTCTCGAACCCCCCCCATCCCCATCCAGGGGTGGTGGTGGTCCGGTTTCACCCCCCCCCTCCTAGCGACCACAAAACGCGCTTTTTCTGAGATATCGGAACCTCGCCCGGCCCCGCCCCCCATCTCGAGATTTCTAAATATCGAGTCTCCGCCCGGCTCCGCCCCCGATATCGAGCCAAGAGGCCCTTAAATTGCTTTCAAGAGGCCACCGAAAGGCCCCCCACGATATCCCAACGAACGTCCAAAAGGCCTGCCCAACCCAGGCACGGTGGCGGGGTGGGCCGAATGCCAATCGATAAGCGGATTCTCAGGTATGGCCAAACAAGCAGCTTGCGCATAATATTTCCTCACACAAAATATGGTTATGTTGGTTGCCACAAGATGCCTGCGGTGCCCGCCGATTCCGTCATTTGTCTTTTGCGATCTTCCACGCATCGAGCGCAAACACATGGGCGTCGCCCCAGACATCCTCACACACGTGCTGATACCACCTCAGGGCGCGGCAATTGTCTGCAGGTTTCCGAAGGCCCCCGCGTTTCGACTCGATTCCTATTGTGTTTCCCCGCGGGGGTTACATCAGAAATTGTTGGTCGTTGCGTAATCCCGTAACAACGCGCTGCGTCCTTGGAGTGACCGGGCAAGATCCCAATGTTCTGCGCTGACAAAGACGCGCCCGCTCGCAATTCTCATTGCCACGTCCGCATCCACTCCGGCTCCGACGACAGAGGCGCCACTGACGGTCGCTCGGAAGCGAATTCGCTCGAAAGCTCCAGTCGTCCATGAACGCGCGGTTCCGCACCGATCAGCCAGGCATCATGCTCGGTGACCTTGTCGGTGGCTTTTCTCATCGCGCATGAGTCCAAGCAGGCTTTTTACGTGAGCGTAAGTTCGAAGCTTTCCATGGTGACGACGCCAGTGTCCAACCAAGGCGCTCGTGGGACCTCTGGCCACGCGAGAGTGCCGCGCCGTGGGTGAAGAAGAGGCTGCGGTTTACCCTGCCGACAGAGCCATGGACTGAAACCGATGCGAAGTTCGAAGGGCGACTCAAGGCGGCGGCCACGTGGGTCAACGCCCAGCATAACGTCGACGGCATGCGCAGGCAAATACCGCACCACTTGCACGACCTTGTACACGTGGTCAAATGTGGCAGGCTGGAAAAACCAGGGGACTGCTTCCCCACCCCGCCGGTTGCATGACGTGCTGAATCTTCTTCGCTGCGTGCCAAGTAGTGTTGGCACATGCCGCTTACGCTCTATTTGTATTATATGAGCCTGAGCTGAACTGGCGTGCTCCGAAGTTGCGCAGCCTTGCTCTGTGATCCGCCGGCGTTCTCTTCGCGGCCTCGGAACAAAAGGCATGAGCTACCGAGTCGACTTTGGCCTTCTGGCCTCGTGACCCGCCGACACCCTGTCCTGAGAACCACACCATTGCTTTACAAAGAGAACGAAAAACCGGCGCCCGCGGATGGCCGCGCGCTTCTCTGGTCAGCGCAAGTCGCCCTCGCGGGCAGGCGCAAGCCGAGCGAGAGCCTCCGATCAAATCACGTACAAGTCATTTGTCAACGTTGCACCTTTTTTCGGTAATCACCCTGTGGGGTCACGCTGATCAAACATGGTGAACAAAAACTGACATGCTGGTGGGGAGTGCGTTACGACAACACGAGTTAGATTGTGCGCTTCTCGATACAAATAACGAATGCCGAACTTTGCGTTAGCGTTAGTCCCTGTCCTCCCTGAAAAGTGTCCTCTAGGTCCCTAGAGGTGCACGAAAGGCGCCCCTTCCTTCACCCCCTATTTACTGCACCTCGATTGCCCAAAGCCCGAGGTCCACAGGAGGCCTCTCGCCCTGGTAGCAAAACGCGCAGGAAAAGCCGAAAGCGTGCAGATACCCGGAGGTGTCGGGAGGTCCCCAGAGCACTCTGGAGGCCTATGGAAGGCCCAGGAGGCCTCGGGGAACCAATCAAAGGCAGCAGCGTGGACTTGGGATTCCCCGCTGCCGTGTCCCGGAGGAGAACCGCGGGCAACGCACGGAAGCCGCTGGCAGGCCCTCCAATAATCCCACCAGCCCTTGAGGGCGTGAGTGGTTTAGCGGATTTCCTCTGCCAACCCCCCTGGTTCCCCTCCGGGGAGGCGTTCATACCATTGTTCCCTACTAATAAACACTCCATCCCCCAGGCGACCGGCAGCCAACCAGAACCAATGCCAACACCCCTCTGGCCATTCCTGTCAAAAACAATACGAAGAACATTTCGGGGCGAATTCTTGGGTTTTGCTCGATGGCCCCGCGAGCACTTTGCATTGTTTTTTGACGGGGACAGCATGGGGGCCTTCATATGGCCTGCTGCGCGCAAGGCCACAATCCCTCTCAAAAAGCAATGCGACGTGCACTTCGCGGCTCATGCGCGGCCACCCCGCATCACTGCCCGTTGGTGTTTGACAAGGGCCGCGGGGGTGCTGGCATATTCCCTGCTGTGCGCAGGCCCACCAGACACCAAGATAGCCTCCTCGCCACGATTGCTCACTGGTTTTCGAAAATCATGGTGGGGGCCCACTCCCCCTGGGCCTGGACGGGGTGTGCCGTGGGGGGTTAGAGCGTCCAAGATGGCCTCGGCGAGAAGGCCTAAAATCATTGATTTCACCCCTGGTTTTGGACCCATTGTGGCCTCCTGGGGGGCGGGGGAAGCTAATTGAGTACCCCCCCTTCTTTGGTCGAGCTCCCAGGTGGCCCCAAGGTAGCTCCAAAGGCTTCCAGGAGTGCACCAAGAGAGCACCAAGCGGCGCCCAGGAGGTCCTAAGAGGCCCCCAAGAGGTCTCCAAGAGACCCCCAAGAGACCCCCAAGAGGCCCCAAGAGGCTCGCCCGAAGGACCGAAGACCGCCAACAAGCCCCCTAGACGCCCCAAGAGAATTCCAAAAAGCTCTCGAAGGACATCCGAAGCGAATCCGAGAGGTATCCAAGAGGCCTCTGGCCTTTCTGCTCGCCCTCCTCTTCCCTTCCTCTTCCTCGTCTTCCTCGTCGTCCTCCTCCTCATCTTCCCCATCCGCCTGTTCGTCCTCCATTCCTTTTCCTTATGAATAAACCCTCCCTGTCGCACCCCAGAGCCAGTCGGAAGGGCAGACCCGGCGTTTCGCCTGAGACTTCCTTATCGTGTATGATCCTGAGGCATGAGAACTGACAACGGTTGCACAGATGGGGGACGGGCGGTCTTCCAAATGCGGCACGCCCTGGCGCCGCACGCACTCGACTTACAACAATTGCGAGAGCTTCACGGCTTGAGGGCGTGTCGTTTTCACAATGTTTCTCTCGCCTTAGCGCCGTGCAAACTCCTTTGAAACAAGTGCGAGAGCTTCGCGGATGTAAGGCGGGTGGCTTTCAAATGTGGCTCTCGCCTCAGCGCCGCGCACATTCGTCGCACACGTTTGCAAGAGCTTCACGGATTGAAAGCGGCTCCTTTTCAAACTGTGGTTCTCGCCTGAGCGCCGCGCACATTCGTCTGAAACATGTGCAAGGGATCAACGGATTCAAAACAGCTCCTTTTCAAAATGTGGCCCATGCTGCAGCGCCGCGCACAGTCGTTACAAACAATTGCGAGAGCTTTACAGATGTAGGGCGTGTGGTGTTCAAAATGTGGGTCTCGCCTTCGCGCCGCACATGATCGTTCTACACGGCTGCAAGAGTTCCACGGATTTCCATGGTCAACATACCAGAAACTGTTTTTGGAAACGACTCAGGATTGCCAGGGCGCGACAGCTACTTTGATTCGCGGTGTTGAGGTTGCGAGAACGGTGTTCTGGCACGACTCAGGGTCGTCAAGGCGCAACCATCAGGTTGATTCGTGGCGTTGTATATTCAATTGTTATCTCCCAACGGGGCATATGAAGAAGGGTGGTGGTGGTATATGAAGAGGGGGCAGCCTGGAGGGAGAATTGACTCCAACACGCGCGCGCTTCGCGCGCGCTTCGCGCGCTTAGGTTCTGTCGAGTCACAGACCCAGGAATCGTTGTGAGAAGAAATTGGTGACGCGAAGCGTCGTGGGGGCGTCCTTGGACGTCTGGGGTCTCCTGGGGCCTCTTGAGGGGCCTCCTGGGGGCCTCTGGCGGCCTCTTGGGGCGGAAGGCTCGAGCTTGCGGTTCGTGGTCCCCCTCTGGGCCCCCTCCTGGGCCCGTCTTGGGGCCCTCTTGGGCCATCTTGGGCGCCTCTTGGGCCGTCTTGGGGCCCTCTTGGGCTGTCCTTGGGCCTCCTTTGGGCCTCTTGGGGGTCTCCTGGGGCCTCTTGAGGGGCCTCCTTGGGGCCTCCTGGCGGCCTCTTGGGGCGGAAGGCTCGAGCTTGCGGTTCGTGGTCCCCCTCTGGGCCCCCTCTTGGGCCCGTTTCGGGGCCCTCTTGGGCCATCTTGGGCACCTCTTGGGCCGTCTTGGGGCCCTCTTGGGCTGTCCTGGGGCCCTCTTGGAAGCTTCTTGGGCCGTCTTGGGGCGGTCTTGGGCGCCTCTTGGGCCGTCCTGTAACGTCGGAAAGCCCAAAAGGCGACTTTGTGAAACATGTACGTTTTACGAAGGAAAGGGCAAATTGTTGCGTCTAGGGGCCCTCTTGGGACGCATGTTGGAGGCTTCTTGGGGCGTCTTGGGGGCGTCCTTGGACGTCTGGGGTTTCCTGGGGCTTCTTGAGGGGCCTCCTTGGGGCCTCCTGGCGGCCTCTTGGGGCGGAAGGCTCGAGCTTGCGGTTCGTGGTCCCCCTCTGGGCCCCCTCTTGGGCCCGTCTTGGGGCCCTCTTGGGCCATCTTGGGCGCCTCTTGGGCCGTCTTGGGGCCCTCTTGGGCTGTCCTGGGGCCCTCTTGGAAGCTTCTTGGGCCGTCTTGGGGCGGTCTTGGGCGCCTCTTGGGCCGTCCTGTAACGTCGGAAAGCCCAAAAGGCGACTTTGTTGAAAATGTACGTTTTACGAAGGGAATGGGCCAATTTTTGCGTCTAGGGGCCCTCTTGGGACGCATGTTGGAGGCTTCTTGGGGCCTCTTGGGGGCGTCCTTGGACGTCTGGGGTCTCCTGGGGCCTCTTGAGGGGCCTCCTGGGGGCCTCCTGGCGGCCTCTTGGGGCGGAAGGCTCGAGCTTGCGGTTCGTGGTCCCCCTCTGGGCCCCCTCTTGGGCCCGTCTTGGGGCCCTCTTGGGCCATCTTGGGCGCCTCTTGGGCCGTCTTGGGGCCCTCTTGGGCTGTCCTGGGGCCCTCTTGGAAGCTTCTTGGGCCGTCTTGGGGCGGTATTGGGCGCCTCTTGGGCCGTCCTGTAACGTCGGAAAACCCAAAAGACAACTTTGTGAAAAATGTACGTTTTACGAAGGGAATGGGCCAACTTTTGCGTCTAGGGGCCCTCTTGGGACCCATGTTGGAGGCTTCTTGGGGCCTTTTGGGAGCGTCCTTGGACGTCTGGAGGCCATCTTCAGCATCTCGGAGCCCTCTTGGAGGCCTCTTGGAAGTTTCTTGGGCTCCTGTGGCCGTCTTGTCTGACCGGGGAGGCCTCCGGCAAGCCCCGACGAGCCTCCGGGCCCCCCGGGGCGCACATTTGTGGTCGAGGTCCCGGCCCCGGGCCCCCGGACCCGGTGCGCCGATATATGTATAGAATATGCGAGAGCATTGCGGCTCCTGGCGGGGTCGCCCCGGTCGTTCGGCGGAGCCGCCCGGAGCCCGTGATGTTGATGATTGTCTGTGTAACCCTCGTGAACAAAGGTCGAAATTCGTCGCCGCGCAGAGGCGTGTGTCCGCATGCGATCCGCTGCAGAGGCTGGCAATCCACCACGCATAGGAATCTGTCGCCAAAGCTAGCCCAACCTTCTTTGAACTCGAAGCCTCGTGCCACCTCTTGCCACGACCCAGGTCTGATTGGAGTAGGTGAAACTGCGCCTCTCGGGCGCTTATAATATGCTGAAATACCGGCCCGTCCACGGGCCCGGCGTGTAAGTCGGCAGTATCATCAGCACCTGTGGCCTAAAAGCATCACGATCTGCTCGATGGGAGAGTACGCGTAATTCACGACAAAACGCAGAGCAAGCTCTGCATTGTCGAGGGCGATCTCGTTCAAAACTGATGTGCAGCCTGCGGCACGGCCCAGGCTCAACGGCGTTGGCAGATAGGCCAACAGATCTTGCACCGCTATTTGCGGTGCACGTACTTGGTCATGTACGACTCCAGGCACCGGGCTGTATGCTCGCTCGAGGAGCTTCAGGGCCACTGTAAGCGTGTCGGGGTACGTGCCTTCGGCGTCGTGGTACACTGCGTGAAACGAGGTCCACGCGTGCTGCGCGCGCTCAATATTGACGACTATGAAGAATTGCCGCGCTGTCGGGGATGATAAACATGGTGTCTTGACGGCCACAGATATGTCGTCTCCTCCTACTACTATGGCGACGAGCGCTGCTATGTCCATGATGGTTACGAATAGGGCCTGCACACTGTTGAGAAGGAACGTCCACGGCGTTCCACTCATTAGCGCGGCGCAGAATTCCGCGCATTCTTTGGCTTTTACTGCTATGCTGCGCCATCTGGCGGTGAGCGCCGCCATGAGAGTCATCTGGCGCCATCATCATTAGGAGTCTGCTGAAGAAGAGCAGCGTCCCTCTGAAATGCGAACTGTCGCAGTCCGCGATGTCAACTTCCTCCCATAGGGCGGTTGCGCGGTCGCGGGCGCTCATGCCCAAGAACACTCGCCTCTGTGCGTCACCAGGCTCCGCGCCAGGGAGGCACGCAAAAGCCAAGCTCGGCCTTGTTCCCGCCATGAGGATTCCGCCGCACATGCGCACCACTGGTTGGACCAGCATGGCACTTGAGGGATTCATGCTCTGCACAGGTTGGTTCGCCTTGGTTTCTGACAGTCCTGGGTGCAAGCGCCAGCATTCTCGCAACTTTGCCCAAAGGAGCCTAGCTTTGATCTTACCGCGCACCTGCGTTTTGTCTACTTCCCGTGTGAGATGATAGCTGTAATAGTCCTGCTATGAGAGCAGACCGGCTACTGCGTTCTTGGCGCTCAGTGCCCCGGCACCAAATTCGAACAGCAGAACCATTAGTGTTGCGTCAGAGTCCGCGTCGATCGACTCTGGGATATTGAAGGTTTTGAGCGCGCGCTTGAAGAATGCCTTCGCCGCGCTCGCGTGAAAATTCGCGGCAACTGTCGGCAGCCTCGCTAAATGCGGGCGGGCCCTGCCTGCACAAGTTCTTGCTTGCCTTTCTTCCAGGTTTCGCAGTGCGCACACTTTCAGCGGGTCGCGTTCTGCTAGTATTCTCTGTTCGAAGTGTTGTTTGCCCGCTCGCTCCAGTAGCGAGTGGTTGGTTGAAGACTCATGTGAAGCAAAATTGTGTCTGAAGAACGTGTCAGTTTGCAGGCGCAGCATTTTCTTCCTCCCCATTCTCCACACTAATCCTCATCATCTTCCTCCTCCTCCTCCTCCTCTTCCTCCTCCTCATTTGTTTCATCCTCATCATTCCCATCAACATTCATCATTTTATTTTTCCTCATGCTTTTGATTCGCCTCCTCATTCTCCGTCTCATCCCCATTCTCCTGATTCCTCTCATTATCCTCTTCATCCTCCTCCCATCCTACATTTTCATATTTCTTGCCTTCATATGTGTGTCCTCTGCTTCTCTCTCTCTCTCTCTCTCTCTCTCTCTCTCTCACAACGGGAATCCTTTGGGAAGCACCACTGAGGGATTCTAGTGGAAAACCCCTCAATAGGAATCCTTTGGAAAGCACCCCATGGGGATTCTACGGGAACGCCTCACAACAGGATTCCTTCGGAAAGCACCACAAAGGGATTCTGTGGAAAAACCTCACAATCGGAGTCTTCTGGAAAGCACCATGGGGGGATTCTATTGTAAAGCCTCTCAACATGACTCATGTGGAAAAGACCCCAAAGGGACTCGATTGGAACGCCTCACAACAAGGACTTTTGGAAAGCACCACAGACGGATTCGATGGGAAAACCTCATACCAGGCACCCTTCGGAGAATGCTGCAAATGGCTCCTATTGGAAAGCGTCACAAACGAAATTTGCTTGAAAGCTCCACAAAGGGCTTCCATTGGAAAGCCTCACAATCGGAACCCTTTCTGGAAAGCGAGTCTCTGGGAGATCTGGAAAATCTGGAAAATCGGGAGAACACATGTTTTTCACTTGGGTAGTCTCTGGGAAGATCTGGAACATCTGGAAGATCCGGAAAACACATGGTTTTTCACCTGGGTAGTCTCTGGGAAGATCTGGAATATCTGGAAAATCTGGAAAACACAAGGTTTTCCACCTGGGTAGTCTCTGGGACGATCTGGAAAATCTGGAAAACACATGGTTTTTCACCTGGGTAGTCTCTGGGAAGATCTGGAATATTTTGAAAACCTGGAAACACAGAAGGTTTTGAAGAGAGAGAGAGAGAGAAAGAAAGAAAAAAAAAAAAGAGAGAGAGAGAGAGATGAACAAAAATTCGCCTGGCGAAGAACCCAACCATATGCAGTTGTCAGTACCGCAGCTGCGGGTTTCATCTTCAATGGAACTCCCCATAGGACTACGGAACGTGTGAGGGGTGTGCCGAGATGGGTGCCACTGGGGCATTCGGCGAAGCTCCCTATGGGGACATGAAACACGCGCGGGGCGTGCCGACATGGGTGGCGGAAACGCATGTGCGGGCCGCCACTGGGGCCTCCAGTGGAGCTCCCTATGGGTCCCCGAAACATGATGCTGCTGCGGGGGGGGGGCCGGGATGGGTGGCGGAGACGCATGTAAGCGCCGCTACTGGGGCCTTCGGTGGAGCTCCCTATGGGGCCACGAAGCGCGTGAGGGGTGTACTGGGATGTGTGGCGGGGACGCATGTGAGCGCCGCCACTGGGGCCTTCGGTGCAGCTCTCTATGGGGCCACGAAACGTGTGAGGGGTGTGCCGAATTGGGTGCGGGTGGTGACGCATGCAGGCGGTGCCACTGGGGCCTTCGGTGGAGCTCCCTATGGGGCCACGAAACCTGTTGTTGTGAGGGGCGTGCTGGGATGGGTGGCGGGTACGCATGTGAGCGCGGCCGCTGGAGCCTTCGGTGGAGCTCCCTATGGGGCCACGAAACGTGTGAGGGGTGTGCCGAATTGGGTGGGTGTGGGTGACGCATGTGAGCGCCGCCACTGGGGCCTCCGGTGGATGGGGCCACGAAACCTGTCAGGGATGTGCCCAAATGGGTGTGCGGGACGCATGCGCATGTGAGCGCCGCCACTGGGGCCTTCGGTGGAGCTCCCTATGGGGCCACGAAACGTGTGAGGGGTGTGCCGAATTGGGTGTGCGGGACGCATGCGGGCGGCAGCACTGGGGCCTTCGGTGGAGCTCCTATGGGGCCACGAAACGTGTGAGGGGTGTGCCGAATTGGGTGTGCGGGACGCATGCGGGCGGCAGCACTGGGGCCTTCGGTGGGGCTCCCTATGGGGCCACGAAACGTGTGAGGGGTGTGCCGAATTGGGCGTGCGGGACGCATGCGGGCGGCAGCACTGGGGCCTTCGGCGGGGCTCCCTATGGGGCCACGAAACGTGTGAGGGGTGTGCCGAATTGGGCGTGCGGGGCGCATGCGGGCGGCAGCACTGGGGCCTTCGGTGGGGCTCCCTATGGGGCCACGAAACGTGTGAGGGGTGTGCCGAATTGGGTGTGCGGGACGCATGCGGGCGGCAGCACTGGGGCCTTCGGTGGGGCTCCCTATGGGGCCACGAAACGTGTGAGGGGTGTGCCGAATTGGGTGTGCGGGACGCATGCGGGCGGCAGCACTGGGGCCTTCGGTGGGGCTCCCTATGGGGCCACGAAACGTGTGAGGGGTGTGCCGAATTGGGTGTGCGGGACGCATGCGGGCGGCAGCACTGGGGCCTTCGGTGGGGCTCCCTATGGGGCCACGAAACGTGTGAGGGGTGTGCCGAATTGGGCGTGCGGGACGCATGCGGGCGGCAGCATGGGGCCTTCGCTCTCTATGGGGCCACGAAAGGGGTGTGCCGAATTGTGGGACGCGGGCGGCAGCACTGGGGCCTTCGGTGCCCTATGGGGCCACGAGCACTGGGGCCTTCGGTGGAGCTCCCTATGGGGCCACGAAACGTGTGAGGGGTGTGCCGAATTGGGTGTGCGGGACGCATGCGGGCGGCAGCACTGGGGCCTTCGGTGGGGCTCCCTATGGGGCCACGAAACGTGTGAGGGGTGTGCCGAATTGGGTGTGCGGGACGCATGCGGGCGGCAGCACTGGGGCCTTCGGTGGGCTCCCTATGGGGCCACGAAACGTGTGAGGGGTGTGCCGAATTGGGTGTGCGGGACGCATGCGGGCGGCAGCACTGGGGCCTTCGGCGGAGCTCCCTATGGGGCTACGAAACGCTGTACTGGGCGGGTGAAACGCAAGGAAGAGGGGGAGGAGGGAGGAGGAGGAAGGAGGAAGGAAGGAGACGCGGGGCACCGTCTCTTCAAAACGAGGACCCAACACCACAGGATGGTTGGGAAAAAATGAGAGTGAAAGAAAGAAAGAGAGTGAGAGGGAGGCAAATGAAAAACAACAGCCGAGGATGAGGAGGCGAAAAGGTATGATGTCAGGGGGGCGACCACATGTATACACACATACATACAGACAGACATACATATGTTTATATGCATACATTCATTCATTCATTCATTCATTCATTCATACATACATACATACATACATACATGCATACATGCATACATGCATACATGCATACATGCATACATACATACATACATACATACATACATACATACATACATACATACACACATACACGGGCGCTAGCCTTGGAAACATTCGGCGGCGCGTTTTGAACCGGGGGGGCGGCCCCCCAAAAAAACTCGGCGCCGTCGATCAAAACCAAAGTGACTCCCCTCCCCCCCAAACCCCCCCTCCCGAACCCCCCCCTCCCTCCCAAGGGGGGGTGGTCAACCCCCCCCCCAAGGAGGGGGGGGTCAAACCCCCCCCCCTGCGCCGGCGCCAGCGGCCGCCAGCAGCGCCGACGGCGGGGATGCAGCGACGATGACCAGAGGCGCCCCAAGGGAGGGGGGGGGGTCAAAACCCCCCCCCTTTGGCGCCGAAGGGGGGGGGTTCAACCCCCCCCCTGGCGCCGGCGCCGGCACTGGCGCTGGCGCCGGCCAGAAGCGCCGGCGCCGGCGACGGCGGGGACGCAGCGACGATAACCACCACTACCACCACCGCCACCACTACCACCACCACCACCACCACCAACAACCCACCACACAACCACCACCACTACCACCACGGCCACCACCACCACCACAACCACCACCACCACAACTCACCATCACCACCACCACAAAAACCCACCACCACTACCACCACCACCACCAATCTACCACGCCACCACCACCACCACCGCCACACATCCCAGCGCAGGTGCCCGCGCATGCACGTGTGAGAGATCGCGCAAGGTCAAGCCAGACGGCTCCTCCTTCGCGAGACCCGAGACTTTACGGACCCTCCGCTGAAGGACAGCACGGCCGGCCGACCGCACTGGCTGCCGCACGGGCCAAATCCTTGGGCTCAGACGAGCGAGCCTCGAGCAGGCGCCTTCCGCGGAGGGTCCGCGGAAGGCCTGGCTTGACCTCACGCGGCTGCTCACGCGTGCATGCGCGGGCACCTGCGCTGGGACGTGAAATCCGTACCGTGTGGCGGCGGAGGTCGTCCTCCCCGGGGTGACGCCCCCCCTGGCCTCCCGAAGACTCATCCCTCCCCAGCCGTCCCCTCCAACCATGGAGGTAGGGTCACATTTGCCCTCCCCCCAGGGCCCGAGTATCCAGATCCACCGCCTGCCCAGATCCCCAAAACTCGATGCTCCAGGTGGTGGCGATGGACAAATCCCCGCGTCGGAGGAGCCCAGGAAGAGCGCAAGGGCTGGGAAAAAATGCATCGTTGGAGATCTCGGATCTCACTGAACCCGAGGAAGACAGAAAGGGAGAGAGAGAAAGAGAGAGAGAGAGAGAGAGAAACAAAAAAAAAAAGAGTGAGAGAGAGAGAGAGACGCGCTACATCGCGGCGGGTGCGCGCAGCAGTTCCTCGTCCTCGTTCAGGATGCTCAGGCACACGGTCCCCGATGGGTAGATGTTCGGGTGGAAGAGGGGCCTCCCGTTCACCTGACCAAGGCAACGGTAGGGGGGCTAACAAGAGGAGAAGAAGGAGGAGGAGGAGGAGGAGGAGGAGGAGGGAGAGGGAGAGGAGGGAAAGGATGGAGAGAGGAGCAAAGGACAAGGGCGGGGGGCCGAGGAGGGAGTCAGGAGAGGAGGTGCAGGAGGGGGGAAGGGAGAGGGGGAGGGAGGGAGCAAGGGAGCGAGAAAGGGAGGGACGGGGATGGGTGTCGTTTCAACGGTGTGTTTGAGGAGGGCGGAGCAATCAGTGGCAGAGGGATGCTTATAATCCTTCTGGCTGGAGTTAGCTCGAGCCGAGGCGTTCCGCGCAACCGCAGCTCGTAGGATCTGTGAACGAAGTCGGGCCGTCCGCGGGCCGACCGGGCCCTCCACTTAGAGATGCGCGCAAGCAAAAACCAACAAAGCACAGTGCGACAGGACGAGGGGGAGGGCAAAGGGAGAAGGTCGGGCGAGAGGCGAGCAACAAATGAGCGACGATCGAAAACGGGGCTTGCGCGAGATGCGGGGCGACCTTAGGCCGACGCTCACGCGGGCCAGCAGCGCGGTGAGCCACAGTGGAGACGCGGGCGCTGGCGCGCGACCTTCCGCGGGCAGCCTACGCGCCGATGCCGGTGAAGACGAACCCGCCTTTTTTGCGTCGCTCGAGTGATCCATGCCGCAACAACCGTGGCAAGCGCAAGCGCTGGACGAACAAAACCGAACGACCTTCCAAAATACAGTGCGGGCGCGGCCGCAAGAAACCCTCGCAAGAAACCCCACCCTGAGAACCCGTGCGCGAGGTGCAGCTGAGGGGAAGCCCGGCCCCTGAACGCAGCAGCTCCTTCGACGGCTGCGGGAGGTCACCGCGCAGGCGCGAGGAGCTAAGAAACCCAGGACACCCCGACGAAAAGTATATGGTTCCTTGATGCGCGCCCCCACTGTATTGGCGCGCCGCCAAGGAGGGAAAGGGGGCGTGGGGGACCCGCGCCCCCAGAGGGAGCAAGCTCGGCGGCACGCTGGGCGTCCGCCAGGGGGGCGTCGTCACGCAGAGGCGCTCTGCCCGCACGAGCAGCTGCAGCGTCGCGCAAAGTCGGCGCAGCCACGCCGCGTGAAGCGCTGCTAGGCGGGGGCAATCCGCCCATGCAGGACACGCGCAGCCGGCAACGGGAGGGGGCGTTACGCGCCGCCTGATACATAGTGCTGCGATGCCACAGCGACCACATGGCTGCGACAATAATGCGAGCTCCCCTGAAAAGCACGCGCGTGCGTCGTGGCAAACGGGCAACGCCGTCCTCCTCCTCCTCCTCCTCCTCCTCCTCCTCCTCCTCCTCCTCCTCCTCCTCCTCCTCCTCGTCCTCGTCCTCGTCCTCGTCCTCCTCGTCCTCGTCCTGGTCCTCGTCCTCGTCCTCGTCCTCGTCCTCCTCCTCTTCCTCCTCCTCCTCCTCCTCCTCCTCCTCCTCCTCCTCCTCCTCCTCGTCCTCGTCCTCCTCCTCCTCCTCCTCCTCCTCCTCCTCCTCCTCCGCCTCCGCCTCCGCCTCCGCCTCCGCCTCCGCCGCCGCCTCCGCCTCCTCCTCCTCCTCCTCTCCTCCTCCTCCTCCTCCTCCTCCTCCTCCTCCTCCCGCCTCCCGCCTCCCTCCTCCCTGCTCCCTGCTCCCTGCTCCCTCCTCCCTCCTCCCTCCTCCCTCCTCCCTCCTCCCTCCTCCCTCCTCCCTCCTCCCTCCTCCCTCCTCCCTCCTCCCCCTTCGCGTGGGGCCACTGGTCGGCTGGCCGGTGGTGGCGCACGGCTGGCATTGTTATCACGGTCTACTGAATCTGCTGTGTGGCGGCGCGCTGAGGGGCCTGCTCGCCTGGCGCCGAGCGCTGCCCCGCAGCGAGTGGGCCGTCAACTCGGCCACGGACGTGAGCAGCAGTCAGCTCCGCAGAGCGGTGCAGGGCTGGATCGACAACTTCGACGAGTACACAGGCTGCAGTGAGCCCGTATCATCAGGACCCCGCACCCTGCTATTTATCGCTGGATCCGACCTCGTTCTAACCCCCACGCCGACACCCTGCCCCCCGGGAGCTGTGCTTGAGCCCTCGCACCCTGCGCTGTCCCTCCCGGATCCGACCCCGTTCTAGACCCCCCGCCGACACCCTGGCCTCCTGGAGCTGCGTTTGCGCGGTAAGGACTCAAGGACCTTGGAGGCATGTGAACGTTTTTCGAACGAGGTTGGCCAGCGGAAATCGCTGAGGATGGGCCGAATTAAGGGGGGAGGGATGCAAGGGTACACTTGGGAAGGTTGCCCATCCTTCCTGTGCGGGTTGACTGTACCAGGTCACGATGTGGGAGTTCCAGATGTGCGCGATCTCTCCCATGACCATCGCAGCGCTGGTGGTCACCAGGATCGAGGAGTTGGCCACGGACACGGAGTCGGAGCCCACGTCCCCAACCACCAGCGGCAGGGTCACGTTCGAGGACCTCCGTCGCGAGAAGGAGGCGTCTGACGGCGAGCTCTGAGAGCAGGAGGTGGCCAGTGTCCTGAAGACCTCAGCGGAGGATCAGTCGAGGCTGCAGGAGACCGTCAACGCTGTGGAGGGTCGAGCTCGCCAGGACCGTCTGCCTCGGACGGTACAGGGCGTCGACGTCGAGCGGCGGTGCGGGCCCGAAGTCAGCTGAGGACCTCAGGCGACGGATCGACTACTTCGAGCACCTGGTTCGGGACGGCAAGGTTGCACTGCCTCAGGAGACGCCGACGCCGACCTCAGGGGCTTCGTGGGAGGTGCTCGCTCCAGACTCGGCTGGACGCGAGCTGGCTTCGACGGAATCGGCGACCCCCGCCGCCCGTCCTACCGGCGTTTCCGAACAGAAAACGCCCAGGTACAAAGACTAGAAGAAGGTGGTGCAAGAGCGCCCCCCGCGCCCCCGATCGCAGTGCTCCTCTGAGGGAGCAGGCCGCGTTCAGCAAATGCTGGCATTTTTCCCGAGAGGACTCGCGCTCCCCCGCGTCGACCACCCCGAACTTTGAATTTGGGGCAGGGGGGTGGGCCCGCCTCAACACGCAATAGAGATGGGCGCTTGTTTCGAAAACCACGGTGGGGCGAGCTGGAAGGCGTCGGCACCCGTGCGCAGCCTGGCGAGACCTACTGCGGCGGCCGCGCCCTCACAACCGACTGCTGTGGCATCAGCTTCGCCATGGCGCGTGGCCAGCTTGATGTCCCACCTCCTCCTCCTCCTCCTCCTCCTCCTCCTCCTCCTCCTCCTCCTCCTCCTCCTCCTCCTCCTCCTCCTCTTCCTCCTCCCCCTCCATCTCGAGCGCCCGAGCGTCAGCCCGCAGCAGGCTTGGACGGAAGCTGCAAGGGGGACCGCGAGGTCGATCCGAGCCAGGGGCGTATTGCTGGCCGGGTGCCGCCAGCGCGTCGTGCCCGAGTGCCCCCGCGACGGTCTGCAGCGCGCGCCAAGGACGGGCAAGAGGTACGCTCCGCAGCTCCCGCGAGAGCGGCCGCTCGAGGCGTGCGGCGCGGCCCAGGGGCATGGCCGGCGCCCTCGCCTGCGTCGACGGGCTGCCGAAGGAGGGCCACGACGCCCGACCTGGTGGATCTCGTCAGCCTCAAGCATCTGGCGCGGAAAGACTGCGCTGCCGAGACTGGCTTCGAGCCGGTCCGCTGCGAGAGCGACTAGAAGAGGCCGTCAGGCAAGAAGGCGTGGACTTCTAAGGTGGTCTGGGACATGATCCACCGCATCGGCCCTGCCGTCGTGTCCGACGCGGCGCGCGGGGGGAGCACACGAAGGAGGCCCGCGAGGAGCCGAAGACCGGGATGGCCAGGGACGCCGACCTCAGGAAGCTGAAGCTGACGGTCGGGGAGCAGTCGGTGGCGGTCGACCCGATCAACGGCCAGCGCGTGCCCTTCTGGGCGCCGGACGGGCGGGCCCGAGCCCAAGCGGGCCCGCAGGCCGTGCCCTAACGCAACGCAGTTCGTGAACGGCCGAGTGCTCGCGAAGCCCAGCGGCGTGCCTCGCAGGTGGCTGGCGGAGCGAGTTTCCAACGAGAAGCGTCCTGATCCTGACATGCGCCATGACCACCGCGACCGACGAGCAGGTGGAGGTAGGCGACCCCCTCAGAGCCTTGAAGCTGATTGAGCATGCTGCGACCGACTCGGGGGCCTCCTCCTCCTCCTCCTCCTCCTCCTCCTCCTCCTCCTCCTCCTCCTCCTCCTCCCCCTCCTCCTCCCCCTCCCCCTCCCCCTCCTCCTCCTCGGATCGCGCACCCACTGGCAGGACGGGGCAGCGACGCCGTTCTCGGAGTGCGCCTCCCCCGCTGGCGGCGCGCGGCCGGCCTGCATGAACTTGCATTTCGGCGGCTTGCTCGGGTAGTCCTCCGTAAACTCCATGGTCAGCGCGTACGTCGCACCCTGCCAGACGGGTTTTTTTTTGCAATCCTGCCAGACGGGTTTTTTTGCAATCCTTCGTTCAGACGGGTTTTTTTTTGCAATCCTTCGGGTTTTTTTTTGCAATCCTCCGTAAACTCCATGGTCAGCGCGTACGTCGCACCCTGCCAGTTGGGCGTTGCTTAGTGGGGGGGTCACAAATGGGGGGGTCAGAAACGGTCCCCTTTCGTGCCCCTTTCGGGCCCCTCCAGAGCCTCAAGGGGCTCGTTTAGGTACCGTTTGGGTACCTTTTCGGGCCACCCTCGCCACCCCCCCATTTATGACCCCCCCATTACGCAACGCCCAAGCCAGACGGGGGCGGGGCCAGGCCGGGCCCTGCCCAGCAGCGCAGCGCAGAAGGCGAGGAGCAAAACAAACAACATAACAAGTGGCGCGCGTGCTCTGGCTCTTGTACATTTGACGAGAGAAGGAGGAGGAGGCGCAGGTGGGGGGATCGAGGAGACAAGGAGGAGGAGGAGGAGGAGGAGGAGGAGGAAAAGGAGGAAGAGGAGGGGCAGGTGGGGCCAGGGCGCCCCGAAACAGCGGTTGTTGATTGTGACCTGCCCGACTGAGTTTTTTGACAGCGTGGTAGATTTTTCGAAGCTGGGCCAGGGGGGGTGCTGGGTCTAGTGACAGGGCCAGCGGGGCGAGGGGGGCTGGGGCCAGGACCACGAGGGGCAGGATGGGTGCAGGGCCAGGGCCAACGGGGCGAGGGGGGCAGGGGCCAGGACCAGGAGGGGAGGGTGGGTCCAGGGCCAGGACCGGGGTCCAGGGGCAGAGCCAGCGGGCAAGGGGGGCTGGAGCCAAACCAGGGGGGGGAGGTTGGGCTCAGTCAAGTGAGGCGGCTGGGTCCAGTGCCAGGGCCAGCGGGGCGAGAGGGGCTGCGGCCAGGACCAGGGGGGGAGGTTGGGTCCAGGGCCAGGTCCAGGGGGACGACGACGAACGAAAATGAAGAGGTCCGAGCTCTAGAACACAACTGTGCAGGAGAATAACAAGGCCGGGGCGGAGGGGGCGCTATGGCTGGTGGGTGGGGGGATGCGGAAGGGGCGCGCGGGATGGGAGGGGGCGCGCTGCCGTGCCGAAATGAAAGGCGCAGGGGCGGAGGGGGCGCGCTGTGCGTGGGGTGATGCCCTCGAGGGGGCGCTCGGGATGGGAGGGCGGTGCCGTGCCGAAATAAAACGAAGTCGGGGCGGAGGGGGTGCGCTGGCTGGTTGGCGGGGTGATGCGGAGGGGGCGCACGGGATGCGGGGGGGGCCGCGCCGTGCCGAAAGAAAGGGGTCGGGGCGATGGGGGCGGTGCCGTGCCGAAATAAGAAAGAAGTCGGGGTGGAGGGAGCGCGCCGGAAGGGGGTTGGGGGGCGGGCCGGAAGGGACGCGCTGGTTGGTAGGTGGGAGAATGCGGAGGGCCCATATGACGAGGGAGTTGGGGCGGGGCGGCGCCGTGCCGAAATCAAGGGGTCGGGGCGGAGGGGGCGCGCTGGCTGGTGGGTGGGAGACGCAGAAGAGGCGCGCGGAACGGGGGGGACGGTGCCGTGCCGAAGTAGAAAGGTCGGGGCGGAAGGGGCGCTCTGGCTGGCGGGGGGGGGTGCGGGAGGGCGCGCGGGATGGGAGGAGAGCGGTGCCGTGCCGAAATGAAGGGGTCGGGGCGGCGGGGGCGCGCTGGCTGGCGGGCGGGGCGATGCAGGGGGGGCGTTCGAAGGGGGGGGGCAGTGCCGTGCTGAAAAGTCGGGGCGGAGGGGACGCTCTAGCTGGTGGGTGGGGTGATGCCGAATGGGCGTGCGGGACGGGGGCGGGAGCGGTGCCGTGCCGAGAAAGATAGTGAGAACTGCAGAGGTGTCGAGAGGAACGCGGAAGCCCCAAGTGAGAGCGCGATTCTTCAATGAATGGTGAGGAAGTATGAAGCGGGAGCCGCGATCCGGTGGTAAATTGCAAGGGAGTCCCAAGCGAGAGAGCGATTCTTCAATAAGTTGTGAGGAAGTATCAGGCGGGAGCCGCTGTTGTTGTAAACCGGGGGCCAACAAAACAGTTTGACCCTCAAGACGTTCCCTGATAGAAAAACAGGGTGCGAGCCCCGGGAAGGGTACTTCAATCGAACAAAAGCAATGTGCACCAGACGGGGGGGATCACCAATAATTATTCTTCAGAAATGCGAGTTCAACAACAGCAACCACAACAACAATAGCAGCAGCAACAACAACAACCACAACAACAACAACCACAACAACAGCAGCAGCAGCAGCAACAACAACAACAAGAACAACAAGAACAACAACCACAACAACAACAACAACCACAACAACAACAACAACAACAACAACCGCGACAACAACAGCAGCAACAACAACAATAACATCAACGACAACAACACCAACAGCAGCAGCAACAACCGCAAAAACTGCAACAGCCGTAGTAACAACAACAACCACCACAACAACAGCAGCAGCAGCAATAACAACAACCACAACAACAACAACAACAACAACAGCAGCAGCAGCATTATCAACAACCACAACAGTTACAACAACAGCAACACCATCAACAACAGCAACAACCACAGTAACAGCAACATCAACAGCAACAACAACAACCACAACCACAACCACAACAACAACAACAACAACAGCAGCAACAACAACAAAAACAACAACAGCAGCAAAAACATCAACATCAACCACAACAGCAACAACAACAGCAACAACAACAACAGCAACAGCAACAGCAACAGCAACAACAACCACAACCACAGCCAGAGCCACAACCACAACCACAACCACAACAACAGCAACAGCAACAACAACAGCAACAGCAACAACAACAACAACAACAACAGCAACAGTAACCACAACCACAACCACAACCACAACCACAACCACAAAAACAAAAACAACAACAAAAACAACCACACACAACAACAAAAAGCTGCCCTGGGAGAGTCGCAGCGGAGGCCCTTCTCTCCGTTCGTTGGGCCTCAGGGGGCCGCTGCCTGGCTCCCTGGGGCCGTGAGAGAACGACCGAGGCTGAGGAACCTTCCCCTGCTCATCCTCCCTCCTCCTCCTCCTCCTCCTCCTCCTCCTCCTCCTCCTCCTCCTCCTCCTCCTCCTCCTACTGCTCCTCCTCTTCCTCCTCCTCTGAGATCCTGGCAATGCAATTTTGTCACATCGGGTGTTTTTCGCTCCATTGCGGGCCCCCTGGGACCCTCAGATATCGATCCGGGTCGAACAATGGCGCAGAAAGATGGGGTGCGGGGCTCCGGGCGTGATTTTCTTCGATGTTGCAATTGTGCGCAACGTCGGATCTCAGGGAAGGGTCAGGACTCCCAGGCACCGCGGAGTAAAAAATCTGGGCCTCGCAAGTCTGGGAACCGAAAGCGACATAAGCACGAACTTTCGAAACTCCGCGCGGCGTCCTTGGATCAGCGCTGGACCCCCCTTCCTGGCTCGTGGAGCGCGCCAGGACTGGCGCCTGGCGCCGCCGGGGGGAGCCCAGAGCCCATCGAAGAAATCCGCCCGCGCGGACCTCCGCCAATTTATGTTTGTGCATATATTCTACTCTGGTGTGCGCCGCGAGCCGTCGCAGGCCCGGCTGGTGACCTGAGCTCCGGCTCGCGGGAAGGAGGTCCGGGGAAGCGGGGAGGCAAGCGATGGCAGGAGGCGAAAGGAGGTCCAGGGAGGCGGGAAGGCAGGGAGCGTGGGTCTGAGTCAATGAGTGCCAACACTACGTGACGAATTACGCATGAAGGCACCACTATACACGACCACGGCTCTGCTTCTCTTCTGCGCTTGGGACGTCAGGCCACAAACCACGAGCAATTCTGCCAAGATGCTCCGCTCCAGTGGGTGCCCAAAGATCCGATGTCGTGATTTGTTCAATACGGGGTCCCCAAAAGTCTCGACCCATTCCCCGGGACCGGTTTCTCATCCTGAGTCGTTTTTTGACGGTCCCGGGGCCCGGCGAGGGCCCCTCGAGGCCGAAAAACAAGAAAACCTCCGTCTTGATTTTTTCATTACGTTGGATCTCTGGGTGTGATGCGATGACTGCACATCTTGCCAAGTTCACGCAGCAAGGAGGAAGCAGAGCACCCCCGCCCGGCTGCCTGACCAGGGAGGGGGGGGGCAGGCCTCCGTCGGGGGCACAGGGGGGACATGAGAAGGGTCCTCCTCCTCCTCCTCCTCCTCCTCCTCCTCCTCCTCCTCCTCCTCCTCCCCGTCCTCCTCCTCGCAAGTCCCACGGCCTTCTGAAAAGTGTCCCAAGCTTTCCCCGAACACCCAAACAGACCTCGCAGAAGGCCGGAGGCCTTCTAAGAAGCCCCGCCGCCTTCTGAGAAGGCCCTCCTCGTCTCCCCTCCAAGTTCAACTCGCGGTCCCCGGAAGTCCCCACCCGTTCCCCTGGACCGGCTCCTCATCCTGAATCGTTGGTTGACGGTCCCGAGGCCCGCCGAGGGCCTCGAGAGGCCGAAAACGACGAAAAGCCTCCGGCCTTGAAATTTTTAAGGCGCGATCATGTCTAGGTTCCCCCACTCGCTCGCCGCCGAAAGGGGAGGCCCTGCCGGATCCCTGGTCAACCGGACCTCCAGCGCCGCGGGACCTCCAGCGTCGCGAAGAGTTCAACGCGGGCTTTTCTTAACCGCGATTGGCCTCGGGGGCCCGCGCGAGACCCCGGAACTCGGCCAGGAAAAGACACGGGACGAAGACCCAACCCTGGGAAAAAGATCCCCCATTGAGAAACTCAAGGCATCGGGGGGGAAGGGGAGAACGTCGTCGTCGAACGAGGGATTGGCGGATGTCCGCGTGCTCCGAGGGGAGTGCAAGGAGGAGGGAGACCCGAATGAGGCACAGCAGAGCGGGGCGTGTGGAAGAAGGAACACAAGCAAAGACAACAACTTTCGCAGGCCCGCGCGGATTTTTTCGATCGGCGCCTGGAGCCCCCTGGCGGCGCCTCTGGCGGCGCCTCCAGCGCCGCCCCTGGCGCGCTCTGCGCGCCAGGGAG